TCCTTCTCGCAAACATATCCATTTACTCCTTAACCTCCAACCCCAACAAAACCCCATAAGGACACTAAATATACCTTTTAAAAGGAAGGATGATTTATTCATCCTTTTATAAGGAATCAGCAAATACTTTGAACTTGATGAGGTAGAAGTAGTGCTGTTTTGTATATGCCAACTCCAAGTTAAATGAGCAGATCTGGTACCTCATTCTCAACAGTCTTGTATATATTACTTCTGTCATACAAAAAGGAGTAAACTGTCTCAGACCTTTCATTATTGTGGATGGGACACTGCAAACTGCTGACCATTACACCATTAATTATGCTGTGACAAGATTCAAGACGTCACAGATTTCTCAAAGAAGAATTTCAAAACTGCAGCCACAAATCTGTTTCATTTGGATTTTTAATAACTTTTAAAAGACATCTAAATGTAGTCAATAAAATATTAGCACAAATAATTAAAAGAGAATTGGCAATTAAAAGGATGGCACCAAGCAAGGTGGTAACTGAGGACTAAAAAATTGCTGAGCTAGTTGCAGGAAACTCCTTTTCTTTTCACAGAAACCTTGTCATAAGGCTGTGAACAAGAACCTGTTCATCCTACAGGAAACAAATGAATTAAGGAATGAAAGGTTTCAGTTTTGCTTTTACCCCTAGGTCACTGGAAGTAGGCAAATCCTTTCCCAAAGTCTAGCAAATTACCTTAAGGAATATATCTGCATATGCTTCAGTATGTGCCATTCATGTTCACTGCTGTGACCGAAAAGCTTGCCCCATTGTGCAGAGCAGGTGCTATATTTCCAAACATGCACTTCATATTCTCTACCTGCAAAATGTCATGCAGAAGGTTTACTTCTTAGTTTTTCATCTATTGGTTTACACAGTGCTACTCCCTGTAGAAAGGACTTAAGCTTGTGCATGATTTGTAACAGTGGGACTACTACAATAGTGAAGTAGGTTTTGATGTCTTCCCAGGCTTAAGAACTCTCTTCCCAGAAGTTTTGAGTAACCAGCCTTTATCAGTGTGAGCTGAAGAGCTCAGTGCTTCCCTACAGAAAATCTCATGGCAGTGTTAGGAATAACAGTTCCTCCCCTCCTTCTACCCATAGTCTACCAATCAGTTGAACTGTTTCAAAACAGAGCATATATGCTTTCGTAAGAATCAACAGATGGCTGTAATGTGCTTTACTCTCCTTTGAAAGACAAAGGGACATACCCCACAAATGGCTGCCTGAGCAAAGACCTGGCTTGAAGTCCATCTCCACTAACACTGGCTTTCTAAAAACTAGCACCTAATTTGGGAAAGCCATATAGATGCCTTGTCTACGCAGTGGTGAAGGAAGACACAGACAGTGGCGTATAAGATGCGTGGGATACATTGCCTTCAGGCAGGGGGTGTTCCTCTCTGGCAGCTCCTGTCAGAGCTTAGAGGACTATTTTACAGGACCTTGAACTCTACAGGAAGAGAACTTAGCTAAGGCAGGAGTAATACGTGTACGGAGAAAAGAATAATCCCAAGAGGACAACTTCATGACTTGCTTTGAAGTATCTGTGCAGCTTGTAGAGGCCAGTGAAAGAGAGAACTATTTTGCTTAACAAACGTAGTAGCTGCAAAATAGGAAATGCTTAGCTTGCTGTCTTCTCTGCGTAAGCACTGAAAGCAGACTAAATCAGAAGCAGGAGTTATCTTTTCATAAACTCATAAACCATTTACACAAGATCCGAGTTTTAGAACTCCTGTCTGCTGTCAAAATTTTGGATCTGATCTGGAGCTGAATTTGGCAAGGAATGTGAAAAATAATAATAGTAAGGGCTTCTACAGGTACATTGGTCAGAAAGGAAAGATTAAAGAAAGTGTACTGCCCCTGATAAATAAAACAGGAGAACTAGTGACAACTGACATGGAGAAGGCTGAATTTTTGCCTCAGTGTTCGCTGGCAATCACTCTTCCCACATCTCTCAAATCCCTGAATCTCAAGGCAGAAACTGGAGGAATGAAGTCCCTCCCATCACAAGAGAGGATCAGGTTTGAGAACACCTGAAGAACCTGAGCATACATAAGTCCGTGGGACCCAAAGAAATGCATCCTATGGTCCTGAAGGAATTGGCTGATGTAGTTACCAAGCCACTCTCCATCATATTTAAAAAGTCATGGCAGTCAGGCAAAGTACTGGCGACTGGAGAAAAGTGAATATTGCACCCATTTTTAAAAAGATTAATAAAGAGGATCCTGGGAACTACTCAGTCTCATCTCCATGCCTGGTGAAGTCGTGCAACAGAATGCCTGCGGAAGTCATGCAACAGATCCTTCTGGAAGTTATGTTGGAGCATATAGAAGACAGGGAGGTGATTAGAAACAGTCATCATGGCATCACCAAGGGCAAATCATGCCTCAGTAATCTAGTGGTCCTCTGCAATGGAGTGACTGCACCAGTTGATGCGGGAACAGCAACAGATGTCATCTGCCTGGATTTCTGTAAGACTTTTGGCATAGTCCCTCACAACATTCTTGCCTCAAAAATGGCAAGGGATAGGTTTGACAGATGGACTGTTAGATGATAAGGAATTGGCTAGATGGGTGCATCCAAAGACTTACAGTCAATGGCTCAGTGTTGAAGTGGAACCAGTAACGAGTGGTGTCCCTCAAGGGCCCGTACTGGGATCAGTACTATTTAACATGTTCATCAGTGACACAGGCAGTGGGATTGAGTGCACCCTCAGCAAGTTTACAGATGACACCAAGCTGAGTGGTGCAGCTGATCCATTAGAGGGATGGGATGCCATCCAGAGGGACCTTGACGGGCTTGAGATGTGGGCCCATGAGAACCTCATGTGGTTCAACAAGGCCAAGTGTAAGGTCCTGCACATGGGTCAGGACAATCCCCAGGATCAATACAGACTGGGGGATGAATGGATCGAGAGCAGCCCTGTGGTGAAGGACTTGGGGGCAGTGGTGGATGAAAAGCTGGACATGACCCGGCAATGTGCGCTCACAGCCCAGAAAGCCAACTGTGTCCTGGACTGCATCCAAAGCAGCATGACCAGCAGGTCGAGGGAGGGGATTCTGCCCCTCTGCTCTGCTCTGGTGAGACCCCCCCTGCAGTACTGCCTTCAGCTCTGGGGTCCTCAGCACAAGAAGGGCATGGACCTGTTGGAGTGAGTCCAGAGGAGGCCACAAAGATGATCTGAGGGCTGGAGCACCTCTGCTGTGAGGACAGGCTGAGAGAGTTGGGGTTGTTCAGCCTGGAGAGGAGAAGGCTCCGAGAAGACTTATTGTGGCCTTTCAGTACATAAAGGAGGCTTATAAGAAAGATGGAGAGATACTTTTTACAAAGGCCTGTAGTGACAGCACAAGGGGCAATGGCTTTAAACTGAAAGAGGGTAGATTTATATTGGACATAAGGAAGAAATTTTTTAGGATGAAGGCATTGGGACACTGGAACAGGTTGCCCAGAGAAGTTGTGGATGTCCCATCACTGGAAATGTTCAAGATCAGGTTGGATGAAGCTTTGAGCAACCTGATTTAATGAAAGATATCCCTCCTCATGGCACAAGGGTTGAATAAGATGGTCTTTAAAAGTTCCCTTCCAACCCAAACCATTCTATGATTGTATGAACCTTCTCGGCCCCCAGGAGCCACTCCAGAAATATTGTCTCTTCATAGGCTTCTGTGTCACATCAGTCAGCCCTGAGCAAGCACATCACTGCATCTCCAGTGTCCCTGAATGGTTATGTCTTGTTTCTAGGTAAGTCAGTAAGGACCCATGTACGTAATTCAGTCTGTCCTGTGTCCTTAAAAATTCTCATGTGCGCAGCATGAGGTGCCTCTCACAAAAGTCCCTCTGAATCTAGG